CATTCAACAATTGTCTCATCCGCAACCAGCCCGGAGGCTACAGAACTCCGAGTGTGTCTGCGCGCGAGCGACAGAGCACGAGAGAAACCGAGTGTGAGCATTAATTGCATTAGTAAACTGGTAGCCTACATACTACCAGAGATGGGGGACTCGAGTCACATGACTTGACTCGAGTCAGACTCGAGTCGCAAATTTAAGGACTTGAGACTTGCTTGACTAAATTAAGAAAATGACTCGACTTGACTTTGACTTGAGATCCAATGACTTGAGACTTGACTTGACTTGAACTGTATGACTCGAGAATGACTTGATATACATTTTTCATCGCAAATCATCGCAACATCCATTGATAAACAAAATGAAAGCAACGGAACCATTGACGTCAGTCATCAGATTCTGCGCGATTGCGTGACGCTGCACAAGCCCAGAAATAGCCTACATCGCGGTGAGCGCGCTAAATACAAAACATCTCCCTGCCAGCATCGTTTCTTTTTGGATATAAACACTAGAAAATGACCATATTCATGCAAGAAGATTTGTTGTACACATAATAACTGGCAAGGGATATCGGACGACCATCACAACCTCGAACAGTCGAACTTCATTCACCACGTCTAAAAGTAAGCTATGGCTTGTTTAACCTGTTTGTTATAGTTAATTTGACTATCTTTAAATCTAGAGAGAATAATATTGGTCAAAACAGCATGCCTTTATACACAATTATGTTTTCAAATGTAGCTTAATGTTGTCAATATTCAAATGATAATTAATGATGGTATATGTTTTGTATAACATTTGCCACATTTCTTTTTAAATCATGCTTTAAAGCCAAAAATGTTGTTCTTTCCAATGACGAAAAACAATATAGAAAACTGTTAGTTTTGTCGTTTATGTTTCTCTTAATGTTATCAGGGGGTTGGTGGCAAAAAATGCTAGCAGAATTAATATGCACCCAAAATTCAAAATGTGGTGGAAAAATGGCCCTAGTATGAGTTATTTTCATAATTATAACATATATAAAAAAAATATTTCCAGATTATTGGCGCGATTGCAAATGTGATGATTTTATAAAACAGTTCAGTAAACAAAGAGTGAATATTGTGATGTGACATTTTAGACATAATATTCCAAATATTTTCTGTTTTTGCTCTATTTCTCCAATGACAATAGTTCCAAACAAGCCACAGAAAGAGTTATGCGTATTTGTGATTCAGTGACCTAGTTGCTTAGTTCCAGAACGAATCTGTCATTTTGAACAAATCAGTTGACTGTTTCTATGACTCGTACATTAAGACGGTGATTTGGCGCCACCTATTGGCGGTTTTAACTTCATAATGCTAAATGCCAACGGCTGTTATATAACTTATATAAAGGGGATCCCAGTTTGAAGAATGCCATTTGGGGGCATAGGAACCATTATACTTGAATTGTGAATTGTTTAATACCTTTTAATGGTCTTCTGCAATGTTTAGGCATATTTATTTTCTCATGCTCTAATGTTGGCCTAATTTCAGTTACATTTACATTTTAGGCTATGTAGTTTGAAATTGTATTTATTTTTTATTTTTTAGATTTTTATTGTAGTAACCACTCAGCTGTATGTGGAAATGCATATTTAAAAAAAATATGTTGCAAATAAAGCCATAGTCCACAACTTATGTAGTTTTAACTTATTTTAATATATAAATTCAGTGAAATCATCAAACGTTTGTATGACTTGCCAGTGACTTGTGACCCAAGCTACGACTTGACTTGACTTGCTTGACATAAGGCAGTGACTTGACTTGACTTGCTTGCTTTTATAAAAAATTGACTTGGACTTGCTTGAGACTCGAAGATTAAGACTTGAGACTTGCTTGTGACTTGCACATGTGTGACTTACTCCCACCTCTGCATACTACAATATATAATTACTATATAAGAGGCATGGAAGTTCGATTAATGGACTCCAGTAATCAGAAGGCTACTACAAACGTCTTGTTTTAAACTATTGCAGGGCTCGAATTTCGGCGCGGGTATTGCGCATAATTCTAATCATTCCCGCAGGTCTCCCATTTATAATGCGGGAAATTCCCGCAATCGTAATCCACACAGATTATAAAATCAAATCATTCTTTTAACAACTATCTGCCAGACGCAATTTCACAAACAGTGAGTGTTCAGCGGTGCCGCTTCTTTCTCGTCTAATGTGTTGTGCAAGGCAAGCATCAAGAGCTGCGGCGATAAAACACACTCGCGTTTAGGAGTCGGGACATGATGGATATTCACTCGCACAATCGGGCCAGCAGTGCATCGTGACTGAAGTTTACCATTTGCACGTCTTTTTAAGTCTTACCAGTTTAAACATTCAAGCGATTTTAAACTAATCAGTGCTCGCGCGCTCTCTGAGAGATTAATATTTCTATGCGCACATTCATAGAAAATCCGCCTTAAGAACAGCTGGCCGGTAACAAAAGTTATTTTTCGCGGATTATATTGCTTTAACACGCAAAATTGTCAATTTCGTTCGTCGTGAGTATACTCTAAACATAGTCGGTTTTGTCTTTAATAAGCATAAAACGCATGCCAGTATAATGAACACAGGATCCGTGCACTACCTCTTAAAGTGACGGCAGACATATGTGTGTCATTCATTTTGTTGTCAATACAACAAAAGATAGCTTTAAGTTAAAGGAATCAGGATTAATAACCAATGTATTTAATTTATTCAGGACTAAAATACTACTCAGTGTTATTTTCCATTTGATTACTTTATTCAGTTTCTGTATATGAATCACGTGATTAATAATGATGACGAAATTCAGGCCCTGTGTTTAATTTTTCTCATTTGGTTACATTCTGTTATGGAAAATTAATTTTCTATTGATTGTAGGCCTATATTTTGAGTTGTATTCACATCCATTTTCCTGTAAAGATATCGAGATATATATCGAATATCGAGATATAGCAACATATATCGAGATATATTTTTTGCTCCATCGCCCAGCCCTAATTCTGATACTAATTTACACCGTTTATTAATAAGTTTTAGATGTATAAACAAATTCAATCAGGAATATCAAATAAACAAATAAAGGAAAATCAAGGTTTGAGGAAACACCGAGTTACAATAACAAAATGTTACACACAGTCTCTCGTACTAGAGCAGCGTGTCACGTGATTGAGTGCGCGCTGATGGCTGCAGTGTGCAACGTTACATCACGAAACTTCACCAAGTAACATACTGTACTCGATACGAAAGCATTACATGAGCACTTGGAATAAATGTCAAGTGTATATTTATATTTTCTTAAAAAGAAGAGAGAGAGAATGAACCCGACTGACATACACAATCCTTCATGTTTATGACATTTATCTAAGACACAAAAAAATACTTTGCATTCATATTATGAATACATTAAATCTGCGGGACTGGGTCTGGAGAAATAAAGACCGAACTCGCAATTTACCACTGCAGAACAGTGTAATTTCATTAATTTATACGCAACACAACTCGCCGGCCGAATTATGTAATTAGTGAAACGTCTGGAAGCTTCCGAATCGTGCGAGTAAATTAGTGGGGACGGCAAAGCAAGAATGTGCATTGCGAGCATTCATGCATTACTCACCGGAGTGAGCGAGACCATCCTCCTCTCCCCTACCCGCTCCTTCAAGGGAAAGCCCACAGTAAGTGAGCCCTCCACGCAAGCCACTTTGAACTCTTCCAACCGATACACGATAGTTCACTTATGCTCTTCAAGACAGTACAAATAATATCTGAGACATTTTAGTTGTTTCTGTTCTTGTAATATTACAAGCTCTTGACTTCTAGTCAAAAAACGGTCTCTCACTTTAACGGTGACGTCGGCTAGCTTTTCTTTCAGCTGATTGGTGAGTCCAGCTCTCGAACGTCAACTCAATGCCGCCGCCCACACAGTCACCATGGCGACGGGAATAAACACTTTTGAGATTAGTGGTGGTGGTAATAGTGCTTGGTCCAATTTAAATGTAGTTCAAACAAAAATGAAAATGTCATCATTTACTCACCCTCATGTTGTTCTAAACCTGCATTACTTTCTCTCCCGTAGAACACAAAAGGAGATGTTAGGAATGATACACAGAAAAGTGTTTAGTGTTATAGGCTTTTAGTATGAATATGTTAGCCTTTACTGTTAACTACATTTACATTTATTCATTTAGAAGACTTTATCTATAAGCTAGTGTGCTCTAAAACAATGACAAAATTCGCATTTAGAAGATATAAGCATTAAAAACGTAGTCTCTCACTTCCGGCAATATAAATCATTTTAATGACATCACTCTGCACTTCAGCTTCTCATCAGATTTTCTGTTCAATCAAATGCTCTCTAGAATCTGAAGCATCTCGCCCCCTACATTATAAATAGATGCTGAAGCTGCTGCTGAAATTGGTCATTTGTTTTCACGATCATTTACAATTTTCATGACACATAATGCACTTTATAGGGGACAGGGAACAATTCAGACAGTGTAAATATGCTTTCCATTGGGGCGAATAAAGTCTTTAAAGTTTCATGTTAGTATCACACGAATAATGCCTTATTCTACATGGCTATATTCTATACCCCCCAAATACTACCCAATACCTAAACTTAACAACTATTAATAAGCCGTAATTAGGGAGTTTATTGAGGCAAAAGTCACAGCTAATAGTTAATAGTGAAAATTAGACCCTAAACTAAAGTGTGACCCTAAAAACTATTAAACAATGCTTAAACATAATAGTAAACAATGCTTCTTGAAATAATGCTGAAATAATATAATAAAATAAATATTAGACAAAATTAATCTATTTAACAAAATTAAATAAGTTTAAATTGAAGTACTAAAAAAAATGTAAATAAAAAATTAAAGCTAAACAGAAATATTTATGATAACAATTAGAAAAGCCTATTACAAAATTACTCAAATTAAAATGACAACTGAAAATCTAATTCAAAATATTAAGAAATATTATAATATTACACAAAATAACACTGTAATGACCGCCAGTAAAAGTTTATTTTCCCTAATCCTTTAAGCCATTCAACTCTCAAACATACAGATACATTAGTGTGCACATATGTTGGTAAATCAATGGAATAAAACACTCACATCTGATACAGAATAATAATGCATTAATGGTGTGACTGTGTGCAACTCAACTCGAAGTATATAAGTCTTCATTACAATAACAGGCCTAATGCATCCATTAGATAAATGACTTGCTGGAATTCACATCCCTTTGACGCTTAACAGCCTTTTACGCACCCCTAACAAATTAACTTAAACAGAAGATTAAGAACTGCTAATGTACAACAGTTAATGCAAATTGAGAGAGACACATTTTTTAAACTACACTCAGCACAAAACACCCAAACAAAGAGAGGAAAATAAATGTAAAAAGTACAAATAGAAAAAGAATAGTGTACTGTCACAGATTGAAAAGTAAATGCTGTAAATTTCACTTGGTAAACATCGTCTTCAGTGGTAAATTTAACAATTTTCATCTTCACACTTCATACGCGTCAGTCACAGTTCAAGTGGCATTACCTTCATGGTAGTAAAACTGGAATATTAATAATGGATACATATAGAAAAATAACATAAAATAATTATGCAAAAGAGAAACACTAATATCAATAGCATGTCCTGTGTGGCCACAGAACATCAAATATTGATATTCTAAAAGGGAATTCTCTGGAGAAAGACAGTGCTTCATTCTGCTTTAATGTTTAATTAGGGGGCCACAGGTAAAGGCATTAAGAGTGTTAAAGGCATTGTAGAACCTTCATTTATATATATAATCTTCAACATCTTTCATCCCCCGATCAAACAATAACCCTTACTTCTACAACTATAAGGGATCTGATTTTAATATTATACGTTCCACTTCAGTATAAGTTATACACATATAAGTCTCTATTAAATCTCTGACTGACTCTTTTTGATTATAAAATGATAAAGATCACATCTTAATGACGAGTGTACGTAATATGTATGTCTAAAACCTGAAATGTTTAATGAGAAAAAGCCTTCAGCATTCTCAAACATCTTTTTATACACTTTTATATATCGGTACATAATAGAAAATGTAATCTACTACCTAACAATTGGCAATAAGTGTCAGTGTAACACAGGACACTGACAGTTACGCCGAAATGATCTCAGTGCTTTTCCATTCAGTCCATCCTTCGAGTCATGCTATCATGTTATATGTGAATTAAAATTGCAACAAACTACGTTTTATGCCAGTTTTAGTTGCTAAAGATGGGGGATTTTGTTGAATTAAGTTTGACAAGCAAATAAATTGGTCCATGCACCGATTTGATCAAAGTACCAGGTATAAATAAATAATTTGCTGGTTTCATACTGTATCTCAGAATACTACTTTCGGCATCGGAAACAGTCTTGCTTTGCACATTTCAACACACATTTTAGTCAAGCTGCAGTATAATTAAAGGAATAGATCACAAAGAAATGAAAATTCTGTCATCATTTACACTCCATCATGTCGTCCCAAACCTGTATGACTTTCTTTCTTGTGCAGGAACACAAAAGGAGATACTTTGAAGAATGTTGGTAACCAAACAGTTTTGATTTACCATTGACTTCTCAAAATATTTTCTTTTATGTTCCGCAGAAGAAAGAAAGTCATACAGGTTTGAAACGTCATTAGTAAATGTTTAAAGAAGTTTCATTTTTGAGGGAACTATGCCTTTAATTTAACACAGGAGCCCAAATTCCTGGTTATTTTATACTGGCCGGATACAGTCTTAAACCATGATTGGTTTACTACTGATTTGTTCGGTCTTTAATAAATAACACCAATCAGTCAAATCACAATAAATACAGCACATAATAATACTGTTAACAATCTTTGGTGGACTGTGTTGACTTTCTGTCACTTTACAGATCTATTTATTCTGAAAATAAAGTCAAAATCAACACACTCCATAATATGGACATTAGTGAAATAAGAACAAGCACTTTTCCCAGCGTATGCTTTGTCTTGGAGGTACAAATTTAAGCGCCCACTTCCAAACCAACCGAGAAAGTACTAATAGAGATTAGACATATCAAAAAGGAACAAAATAAATACCACAATTAAATTGTACAGGCATGCGGCTTCGCAATTCTCTTCTTAAATCAATCAGATTGTAAAAAGGCTCAAATGAACTGAATATATAAAAATATTTGTGAATAAGATGTTTCGCAAATATTTCCTAATGTGAATCAAGCATTGCCCATATACAGCATATAAGGCCTGAGAGTCTTTTGCGTGTAATTACTGGATGACACAGCATACGACACACATCAGCACGCAATGGTTATTCATGATCAACAGTGCAGTGCTACGTCTTCTTTCAGCTATGGGTGATTGTCTTAAGATCTGTAAAAAGCACATCCTGGGCTGCCAGAGCCCTTAGCCGTGCTTTATTTAAAAATAAACGGGCCTTTGAAAATACAGGGGTGCTCGTGAAGGCTAAAGACAAAAACGCAACCTTTAATAACAGCAACAAAGCCAGAGGTGCACACCAGTCAGGGTGTTTCTAATGACCGCGTAGTGACATGACACATGAAGTGCCGCTTGAGTACAACTGAAGCCCCAGCCAGTCCTAGGAGTTTTCCCCTAAAAGACAGTCCCAATCACTCTGTGGAGCTTAGATAGCGCTAGTTCAAAGCAGATTTGGTTATTTAAATATAGCATTCCGTGATCTTGGTGAAAGACTTATTTTTTTTTGGGAACTACCAGGATCTCATCCCCGTCTTGAATGCTGTAGGAGTGCAAGGCCAGTGCGCTGTACTTCAACTCATCGGGGCCGAAGGCAGTGCCCTTGTCGATGTAGTAAAGGCGCATTTTGCTGGTGGGGAGCTGCACCACAGTCTTCAGCTGCTTCTTCAGCTCTGCGACAGTCTGGTCCAAACGGATGCTCACCTGCTCCACTTTGTCTTCATAGCGCACCTCCACCTTGGCGTGGCAACGCGGTCGCAGGTCGATCTCAGCCAGAGGAGCCAGTTTCCCATATTTGGTCACCAAACAGTGATATCTTCAAAACAAAATGCAAATATATAATCTGTATTCAGCTTTCCACTACATGGTCAAGCCAAAATAATACCCATTTCAGTTTTTATTTGAGTGTAATTATATCTGAAAATAAAGAGCAGTCAAATAAAATACCTCTATTGTTAATTTTAACCTCTAATATTATAGTAATGTACCAAATGAGAGGGTTCCCTGTATAGTTTGCAGCATTTTTATCCTTAAGAAAATCAACCTATCGGTATCAGCTGAGAAATTTAGTATCGGTGCATATTCTCCTACCCACAACCCTAAACCTTGCACTTACCCTACCCTACCCTAATTAAAATGTACTGTAGAGTTTCATAATTAAAATAATTTAAAAACTGAGGAAAAACAAACTAATTACAAATCAATGTAGTACGATCTGTATGCCTTATCACTAGGTGGCAATAGTGAATCTTAAAAAAAGCAAGGAAAGTGAAGTAGAAGATCGGTACTGACATCAGCGATTAGAGGGAGGTGCTAATTGGCTGTTTTTATTGTAGGGGGCATAACTTGTAGTTGGGGGCGTAATATGTTGGTTTGTAGTACTGTTGGATGCAGTCGGACACACTTGCAATGGTTTGTTTCGGCATTTGTGACTGAGCTGTGACGTTATACACGATGACAGTGAGACACCAATGACTTGTGACACGAGCAGTGGACCAATCACTCCCGGACCCTCCCCTCTCACACACATAGGCCTACACTGGTGGACTTTTCAACATGAAATAAAAACAAAAACGAATTTGCAGGTCATACACACATGACTAGTTGGAAGAAAAAAAATGCTTGCACCTTATAAAAAAAAAAAAAGCCCTGATATTAGAATGATGGATGATGCTGAAGACTGGAGTAATGGCTGCTGAAAATTTTGCTTTGCCATCACAAATGCATTTTTGATCAAATAAATGCAGCCTTGGTGAACATAAGAGACTTCTTTCAAAAACATGCAGAAAATCATACTAACCTTAAACTTTTGATCAGAAGTGTACATTAAGATACTTTTAAAAATGAGGGGAAAAGAAACCTAATCGACTAAGGTTAGTGGATGACTAGTCAGCCATCCTGACCCATCCATACTATACACACTCATTTCATGTCTAAAATTTACCTGTGAGGGAGCTCCTCCTCTGAATAATCCAAGTGATAACGGATGAAGAATCTCTCAGCGTCCTCTCTCTCGCCATCCGTAACAACACTCCCATTCAGGTTGGTCACTGACGGCAGCCTGCGGGTGAGTGCAATTAGATCATCTCATCAACATTTCTAATGCATAACTATCAGTTTCTAATGAAGCTAAAGAGATCGTTCACCCAAAAATGGCAATTCTGTAATTATTTACTGTATCTTCATGACGTTCAAGACCTGTATGAACTTCTTTCTTCTGTGGAACATAATAGAAAATATTTTGGGTAATATCTCTGTTTTTTTTTTTATGTCAATACAATGGAAGTCATTTACGTCAATACAATGGAAGTCAATTGTCATTGAACTGTTTGGTTACCAACATTCTTCAAAATATCTTTTATTTTGTGTTTTCAACAGAAGAAACTAAGTCATACAGGTTTGGAACGTGGAATGACACGAGGGTAAATAAATGGCAGAATTAAAATTTTTGGGCGAACTTACCCTGTTATACACACTGGACTTACTGGGCTATCATTAGACTGCGACGCTCCATGCTCGTGTAAGCCTGAAGTAGAGGAATGCCTTGCAACCTCACCTCCTCCAGTTTGGGCAGAAAGTTTAGCTTCTCAATGTCCTCCCATTGCTTAAGTCCTGACTCACACAAAATTATAAGAAAAACTAGTTTTCATGGAGTATGTAATTACACTGTAATAAAACAGTAATAATGCTAAATTAAGCAATTACACACATGGTATGATCATTTAGACCCTTCCAGTACATGTTAAGACATTTTTCAACACTGTCACTATCAAAATGATACCTGAGTTGTGCAGATTGATGCTTCGTAGGTTAGGGAAGAGCCGCTGAAGGATTTCTCTCGAGTCATGAATGGAGCTCAAGTTGTTGTTGGCCATGACCAAAGTGTCCAGTGCAGGGAACATGGAGCCAAATTTTCGTACTTCATTCCACTCATGGAGGTTGTTGTCTGTGATATGGAGCAGACGCAGTGTGGGGCAGGGCATGGCAGCCGGTGTCACAGTGGTGTACTCATTAAGGCACAGGAACAGCTCCTCAAGCCTGGACAAAACCAATCGATATTGATGGAGAGCTCTCATACCAGAGATACCTTCATTAAATATCATGGATCAGATGATATTTGGGATAAGCAGTCTTTTTCCCTAAATGTTCAATGAAGACATTTCATTAGGTCAGGTGTGAAACATATGAAACAAAGAACTGGGAAAATGGACCATGGCCATGATCTTTAAAGGGATCATATGATGCTTTTTAATGTTTTCCATTATCTTTAGTGTGTAATATATCTGTTTGTGCATGTATATGATCTGCAAAGTTACAAAGCGATTTATTCTAACAGAGAACCCTGATCCAGACCTGCCTAAAACACCTCGATCCAGATATTACTTCCTCAAACGTCCACGTCACAAAGTAAAATATTAGCATAATGCCAGGCAAAGGCATGAGCAAAGAAAGAAGGCGAGGTTTCAATGAATTGAAGTGTTGTTGGCATATTTGGATGAGAAAGCAAAACCGCTTTTGCTTTCTGAGGTTAATCAGAGGTTAGACTTATTTGTTCCAGAGCAGTACAACCCAAAAGTTTGCTTGTGCATTGCGCATCTTACAGAGGACAGCTTCCTGAACCTATGAAAGTACAACGCAGGCTATAAACAAAGACTACTTACCACTGAGAACCTGCTCAAGTCGTGCTTGCAAAGTTGGTTCCGATCGATCAACTTGATCATCCGCATTTTCAGAACCTGACTCGGGCTCGAACTGATACGGTAAAACCGACGACATTATTATTAACTGTGTTCACAAATGCTTTAGAAGTCTTGGAATCTGAAGCTTGCAATTATGGTAAGGGGTGTTTACACGCTTGAGGTGTGGCCAATCACAACGCACTGGTCAGCTGGCCAATCAAAGTACTCTGAGCTTTACGGAAGGAGGTGCTTTGTAGAAATCAGGACATTTGAGTCAGACTGGGAAAAGAGGAGCTGCAATAATATACAGTATGGGAAAAATATATATTTTAACATTAACGCATATTAACCTATTCTAGTATACCCAATAATCAAAATATGCAATTCTGTTCACAGGACTGAATGTATACAGCCATTAAAATACTATTTATGTAAAAAAATATTTAAAATGAAGACCATAATGTCTCAAAAATCTCAAACTAGCAAGAGCAATCAATACTATACACCAGGGTTCCTCAAATCCGGTCCTAGAGGGCCACTGCCCTGCAGAGTTTAGTTCCAACCCTAATCAAACCCATCTTCAGAGTTACTAGCAGATAGGTGAGTTTGATCAGGGTATGAAATAAACTCTGCAGGACAGTGGCCCTTCCAGGGCTGGAATTGAGGAACCCTGCAATACACCAAGTACACCTTCACTATCTGTTATAAAGGATGCCAGTCTATTTTCTTTTCAATAATGCAGAAACATTAGGAGTTCAAAGTGACTCACTCAGGCATTTCTCGTGTGAAAGTGTGCACCGTGTCCCAGGACACTTGGGTATTGTTAAGAACGAAGCGGCGGATGCCAGAAAAGGCCTTAGCGCAGCCTGGATCTAAGACTGCATCATTTAGCTGATTAGAGCTGAGGTTCAAAAACGCCAGGTTCGGGATGTTAGAAACAATCTTGCTGATCTGGAACAAATTAAAGGGTTAAAACAAGAGTTAAAATCATTTAACCATTCTCATGTCATTTTTAGACCTGTTATGCTATGGCTTTTTATTCAGTGGACACAAAAGTTAAAATATTGAAAGAATCGAAATTCAGTTGCTATACAATGGTAGTTAAAAACTATATACACTACACTTCAAATGTTTGGGGTCAGTAAGAATTTTTTTTTTTTTTAAAGAAAGCAAGGATGCCTTAAATTGGTCAAAAGTGACAGTAAAGACATTTAAAATGTTACACAAAATTTATATTCAAATACTGTTGTAATACTATTCCATAATATTACTTTTAAACTGTTTTAACTGTAATTTTGATCAAATAAATTAATTAAAGAATCCTGATTTTTCTTTAGCACAATTTCCACAAAGATATTATGCAGCAAAAACGTGCATTCAAATAATTTAATACACAGCTAGCCGTGGATTATCCCACTTATACCATGGTCATTTGCCAGCATTGACAACTTAAAGCTGTTATTGATGTTTGCAGTGCAATATTTGACCGGAAGGGTAAAGATGGCGGTTATTTTCACCAGCTATGACTCGTTAGATCTAGCATTCTGCCTGCTTTGAATCAGTACTGTATAAGATTACATTTCAATGAATGAAGTATAGCATTTGTTTGAATTCATTATCTATATAGAGAGAGAGATGAGAGATGCGTGTGTCAATTACCTGTGTCTGTTCAGCGTCTCTCTTTTAACAACGAATCTGAGAGTTTCATTACTTCAAAACCAGCGATGTTATATTGTGCTCCTAACCTGTGCTTCAATGAAATCAGCGCAGTTATAGAACGGTGATTAAATGGACTTGGAACTACCTGTGCATTAATGGTTTTATTGCACACCTTCCAACCAAACAGAATCGAGTATTCAGACAGACCATGGTATACAGAACAATGTGAGGGTGAGTAAATGATGAATGTTCATTGTTGGGTGAACTATCCCTTTAAATCTTTTTAAAAAAAATTGGCCATTTGAATATGTATTATTATAAAATAAGGAAAAAATGAGATCCCCAGATGAACTGACTTCCTCACCTCACACCAGTCTTGGAGCTTGTTGTGGGACAGATCAAGTTCCACAACATGAGCACAGAAGGCAGCGATCTCTCCCTCCTCTCCTGCATGACTGATTCCACTGCCATTCAAAACCAGAACACTGGGCAGGTTCAGACGGTCTGAAGGCAGATTGACCACACAATTAATGAACAATGAAACACAGCAACAGGATACAGCTGTCAAAGTAAACACTAAAATCACCAAGGAAGGAACCTTACATAACTTGTTTTTAATTAACCCAAGCCTCACCTTTCATAGGTGATCCCTGTGGTCCAGATGGCACAACCACGACTCCCAGGCCTGGACCCCGACGGCAAGGAAAGTTCTCCGGGCTGTACTTCTCACTGATCGCCTGCATAAAGGTGCGGCCTTCCATCTCAGAAGCTTCCATTGCACTGTCCCACGCCACACACCTTATGCAGGTGTGGATACACAATTATCAAAATGTTTTATCTAAAGATAAAGTGTGTATTGTTTTGCCAATTCTAAATAGTTCCTAGTTCAATGTGCAGAGATAGGCAATCCATTTGTAGGTTGATTTCCTAAAACAGTGCTTTCAAAATGGTGACTGGGGAGTCCTACATTTCAACTTCTATCTCAAACAATGGCGTGAGTTTTAGGTGGGACTACCCGTTTGTTCAAATGAGCCTGAACTAGCCTTGCATTGCAATGAAATGGTCAAATTATCTGATATTTGAAGAGACTAATAGACCTTGCCATAAAGCCTTGAGAATTTATAGGGGCCCTCTATTTGACATTATTTCCCGGTTTGATTTTTGTTATTGCATGTTTGTTGAACCACATGACTTCCATTTGGCAGATAAAAGTTTTTCAAATATTAGACGGATAGTTTACCCCAAAATAAATTCTGTCATCACTCACCCTCAAATTGTTTCAAACCTGTATGAATTAAGTCATCTTCATTTATATAGCGCTTTTAAAAATTAAAGCAGTTTTGTCAATATATAACGTATAGCAGCAATATATATATATAAATAAATCTGCCAAATCAAAGTCATATGGTGCAACTAATGCAAATTAGTTAAATTTTTTTATTTATATATTTTATATAGCTGTAATTGTTTTTTATTTCAGATTTAGTCATTTTAGAGCTTATTTATTTCAGTTAGTTGAACATTTCTCATTTTTAAGTTTAAGTAAAATATCTAATATCTTTTTTTTATTTTCTTATTACAATTTTAGTTTCAGATAAAAAATATAAAACACATTCATCACAGAAGCTCATCACATTGCATGTATGAATTGCATTTAATGTTCCATTTATGAAAAATTCATAAATAGGACAATAATGGGTGTTATGCCTTGACCCATGTGCCAGACAATCTCAAGCGGTTCAGTTAAACATATAGTCAGAAACTGTAGTCCTCTGGGTTAAAAATTCCATTTTTAAACAGAGCTGGCCTAGATTTAACCATCTGCTGGCTAAATAAATCATGTTCTTTGCTGACATGAAACCAGCAGCTTTACTGAGCACAGCAATACTGGCTTATAGCCTTATACCATAAAATATGTTAACCCACTGATAACTAAACATGTCTGGTGAATATGTTTTTCCTAAATTAACCAGTATAAATATGAGCAGCCTGATTTTGAAGAGCTCACCTGCTATGCGATTTATCCTCACAGGTTCACAGTCCACAGTTACACCAGTGCTATAAAATAATCTTTACTTTTACTACAAAAAGTTATTTATCCATTGAGTGTCAAGGTTCAGTGGATAAACGTGGCTGCACACCAGCAGAGAGACTGCTCAGCGTCCTCCACACTTTTCAGAGATAACAGCACTCTGTAGAAAGAAGACACCAGGTCAGCAAGAAGGACAGACAACTGATTCACCTTCAGTTGTAAGTACACTAATCTGACTCAGCCAGATTCTGTTTAAGTCAACACACTCAATATGCATCTGAAAAACCTTACAATAGTTACATCTCAGAGCAGGTTTACAGACTCTTACGGAAAATACATGACAAAGAGACCAAAACCATGTAAGCATTCTTCAGACAGCTGTGCATATGATGCTAAAAGAACAATAGCTGACTTGTGAAACAAGTTGCCAAGACGTCTGAGTGTCAAATTACAAGAACAAGAGCTGTTTTTTTTTTTACATGGGACTTAGGCCTAAACTCCTATTTTACAGCATGTTGCACACATAAAACTGTTGAAAAACACCTATAATGTCCAAATGATATCAAGTATGGATAGTTATAGAGCAGAAGTTCTAAAAAATATGGCTGAAATTAAAGAATAAAATCGATGATAAAATGACATTTTATGAATTACATGATTATTAGATATGTATTCAATTATTTAGGCATCTGCAATAAATTATTTATGACTCTGCCTTAATTTTAATATACGGTATACATGGGAAATATCACTGTACGATGCAATTTTTGCCTTACAAAATTAACATTTTATATACATGAAAACAAAACATTCTAGTTTACGTTTTGTGTTTGCACAAATTGGTCTACGATTTCAGTAAGGCTCTTTGTGTTATTGACAATCAGTATTTTATTTATTTATTTATACATATATACAAATTTTATTTATGTGGTTTTGGACAGTGTTGGGTAGATTGAAGGGAATATAGCCTATGATATTCACTTCAATCTACCCAACACTGCCCAAAACCACATAAATAAAATTTGTATATATATGTATATATAAATAAATGAAATACTAATTGTCAAAACCACATAAATTATCCTGTATTCCTACATTTTCAAACACGGGACCATTTACAACCCATCACATGACAATAACGCAATGGCAAAGTTATAACCTCCTGGGACCCAAGAATAGACTTTTGTCCACTGTAGTGGACATTATATTTTAGTGAATTTCTCTGACATCATACATGTCACATGACACAACCTGGGTGTCCTGTAAAGAGCACATTCAGGACTTTTCAGAGATACCAAATGTTTGGAGGTTTCACCATGAAAACAACTTCTCCTTGGTCTTTAAAAATGTCTGACATTAATTTAGTGATCAAATGTAGCATTCTTATGGAAATATGATAATATAGTGTAATTATAATATAAATTGGACTACTTTTCAAATTGTATTTCATAAAACAACATCTCAGGAAAATGTTAAGGGGTTTAAAAAAAAAAACCTTTCTGTTACAGAACAGGGCATTGATTTCAAACGTGTCCACTGTAGAGGACATCAGGACTAAAATCATGTTTATATCATGAAATAAATTATACATCAATATTCCTATGAAATGTTAGATATTATTATTAAAATGTTGCCAATTATTACTCCAATTATTACCCTTTATTCTTTCATTAAATGTTGCTCCCAGAACACATTAATGTGCAAATTAGATACAGTGTATAGATACATTGCATTGAATGGGAATATTAACTTATGGCCATTTTACCCACATATTGCAAAAAGTAAAATGGTGTATCAATTCATTCCATTATTTCTTTCATAACATAGTTGAGAATAATCTTTATACAAATTTTGGTTGAAAAAATCCTGAAACCCCAAAATGTATTGGTGATTGAAAAAAAAAATCCCATTGTTTTTGCCTATACATATAATTTCATGTCATTTTATTTTTTAAACAACTTAGTCCTGGCGTCCACTACAGAGGACATAGCATAACGTATGAATAAAATATTATTTTATATATATGTTTTTTTACCATTTGTTTATTGTGCTCTAAACAGTGTGATGACATGGAAAAAAACTAAATTCAAAAAACCTTTTTTTTTCTGGGTCTCAGGAGGATAAAGGTGAGTCACCTTCATCTGAGATTTTATAAGAGCAAAGGTAATTTATAATTGATAATTATCAAAGATGAATCTAACTAGAGCTTTTGCTTGAGAATACCTAACGTTATATCAAAGCTGGTAGCCCCACTCGCCAAAACTAACGGTACACCACTAACGGTAAATGTTAAATGACTCGAAATGAGAATGTAAGTCAAGTCAAGAGGTAAGTCAACACCAGTAAATTACCATACTTCTGCTTATCTGTAGCTAGCTTGAACCGAAAACATCCCTCCATCATCACAAAGTGTCTTACATTGAATGAGCTGCACCTCGAAGAGATTTGGGAAAAGACGCTGTAATTCACACCGACTCTTAGTTCATCCACGTCATTTCACTTGAAATCCCGCACTTTGATCGCCAGGCTGTTACAAGTCGCTCTTGTTATTGTTGATAAATCTGTCACGCTGACCCTATTGTCACGGAAGTGGCGTCACTACAGCTGTGTGCTCGTGATGGGACCGTTCAGTTGTGTACGAATACTTGAGCGCCCTCTCTGGCGGAGTGGAGAACAGCGTACAATATTTACCGCAATTTACATTATTTAATTTGTACATTTATAGATTGAGTAGTTTACATGTGTTATTTTATAATATGTAGAAAACGGTAAATTAATGATGAAAATAAGATGATAAGAAAAGGTGACTCATGAATCATGGGGTGTTGAGAGTCCGCTTATGGCATGGCACCCAGACAGTCTAAACAGAAGCATCTTTGATAATAACAGAAGTGGCATTTCAGACTGATCAATGCTTCCACCTAGCGGTTTTAAAACTTCTCACAGGGGTTGGATCCATGCATTTCATGGCAACTTTAAGGAAACCGGTTGCATTATTGTTAACTACTACAAATATTGTTCAGTAATAAAGCTGAAATAAAATGAAATATAAAAAGCAGATGAAAAACGTTTTAACTTAATTTAGAAATGTTGTCCTGGCAATTAACTGAAAAAATGTAAGCACACATTTTTTAAAATAACAAAAATGAATAAATCATTTAAAATGATTAAAAACAAAACTGAACATAAAACTAAAAGCAAATAAAAAATATTAAGAAATACTATTATAGTATAAATATCACTGATATGGATTTATCTCAAAACTAAAGTTTACTTCACTCCAGCATGACTTTATTACTAGCATTACTATATATGAGGTCATGCACATGAAGATATTAAATAATACAAGGACAAGAACGTTGTATTACAAAAGACATCGGATGGGCACATGACACTTTTACTTTAATTTTCACAATGATTATTTTATTTGCTCTTTTCATAAAGTAATAAAGAATAGATATAGAGTAAGCAAAGCAATTATATTTAGAAGAAAGATAGTGTTATTGCATGTTAACAACTAACATGATAAAGCAAAAATGATAAAGCCTATACGAACAAAAGCTTAGCCTACCTACATCTCATTATGTCTTCATGTGCTTTTAATGATAAAACACCAAGTGTGCAAGTAAAGCACAAGCCCTGAAAAGTGAAGCCAAAATGTCTCGAGACGTCATAGTCGTTCGTAATGACAGAATTTTCTTGTGTATTGTATTGATAGTAACTTCTTTTGTATCTTCATGCAGGAGCTGAGGGCCACTTACACGGTTGCCCTGGTGCTGTGGTAGTGGGGTCTCTCGTTCACCTGAG